GAGTTCCCAGTCTGTGCCACTACAATTCTGTAATCTCATATCTAAATTTGCCTTGCTTCATTTGCCAAATGTTGGTTACAAATTTGTTTCAATGTCAGGTCTATGTTGAACTCCATAGCTACAAAAGCCAAAACAGCTTTCAGTTTTAAAAATATCACTTGCTACTTGATATTATTGAATTTGAATGTATCACTACGAAATCATCCTGCAATTGGGTTTCCTCTTCCTAGTAGGGCGTGTAGCTGGAAGTGACAGAGCACCTCTTCACTCCTGGAGGGCCGGCTTTTGGCCTCACATTCAGAAGGCCTCCAGATCACGGATTAATAGAAAAATTCAATGAAGGTACCCAATTGCTCCTTTTGGAAGGTACTCTGAGGAATCTGCCTGTGTGCGAAAGCCTGTGTACTTCAGAATTCCCAAAATGTGCACAATGAACCACCAATGGTATAAAACCAGGTAGCTATAAGGAGTACTGGCTATAAGGTGCAAGGTATAAGGATATTAGGAATTCATTCACAAAAAAAGTGTCAAGTCTCATTCACATCTTCCAAACTGCCCTTTGGTTACTATGGGACATATGATTTGCTATATTTTCTGCAGTCTAGGAAGCTGCCAAATTGAAAGCATCAGTTAGTCGTATAGTAGTTTCAGGTGTCTTTGTACTTTTCTTTCTTCATTGTTTATAAACATGTACAGTACCAACCTGCTCAGGGAACTGTGATGTGTGACATGCTCTTTGTCCTTAGACATGCCAGCAATGTGTGAGAGACAGGTTTACAAGGGATGTGTGTTCATGTCATTAGCAAAAACACTAGGTGCTCGAGAGGGTTAAGAAAAGGAAGTTATCACGGGGGTCTGAAGTCTATAAAGGCTTCTTAGAAGAGAGGGAGACTTGAGCTGGCCCTGTAAGTAAAAGTAACAGAGAGAAGGATGACCCTCCTAGACAGGGAGAAACAATTATATTAATAAAGTATCCCTCTGTAAAACTACCTGGGAGAAAGAAATCCATCTGTTTCATGGGCATTTTGGATCCTATGGGAAGAAAATGAACAACCAATGGTATAAAACCAGGTGGCTATAAGGAGTTACTGGCTATAAGGTGCAAGGTATAAGGATATTAGGAATTCATTCACACACACAAGTTTCTTTGCTTCTAACAACCCCTGACAATGGGGGAAATTATCTAAATGTTAGATAGCACTAGATCCACATTTCTATGAATATTAAACTCCTCACATGATGGAAATTCTTAACCCAAAAACGTAAGATGAAACCCGGAAACTCTTTTATTTACAACACTGACACACTGAGTAATTTCTACTGTGCATAGTTTTTCACAAATAAAATGCAATCAACCCTTGTTGGGTTTCCCAAGGCTTCTTCCTAGTTTTCAGAATAAGTATTTTGAGCTATTTGGACCATAGAAGGCAGGTGTATGCCCTGAAGGGTGGGAGTGAGGTAGATGGAAGGAGCTGAGCTTCAGTTTCCAATCTCCGCCAAGGATTTAAAAGCTAAAAGCAAAAGAGAAAATGGTACCTTAGGAAAAGGAAAATCAAACTGCCAAGATTTATTTAACTTTTTCTTTCACAGAAAATACAAGTATGCAAGGTAAACACTGACAATTCACTTGGACAGTACTCTTGCTCCAGCCCTGGACTGCCTCCTGCTCATTTGCAGTGTGAATCACATGGTTATATATATTGAAAAAATGGAAGGAAACATTCATTTAGACATACTGAAACACCAGAGAGCCTCTGAAATTCAACAATGCCATACAGAAGTCTCATCTTTCTCTTGCAAAAAATAAATAAAGCTGAACACGTGCCCATTTATCAATTTACCGAGGCATTTAATTTAATGTAGGAGCATAAGAATGAATTAACACATGAGCTTTAATATGCCTGAGGAGGCAAAGATTAAAGTGTGCCTCTTTTCCCTCTCTAGAGAAAATAAAATTAACTGAATTAAAAGCACAGCTGCCTGACACTGGCCCGAAGACAGCACGATTACAGTGAGTTCTTATTCCAATAAGCCCCAGGAAATGCAAAACACGACGAAGGACTGCCCCTGGAACTTTGCCCAAATGGTCACTCCAGGTCTCACGCTGCAGAAACACGTGGGGGTTTCAAGGTTCTTTCCCAGAACTTCAAACCAGGAAAAAATGACCCAAATAAACGGTTGGGATCAAGAACCACCTTGATTTAAAACAATCTGTTTCTAAACTTGAATCAGCAATAAAGACTATGGGCTTCAATTTTCTGTGATTACCCCTGGCCGGGAGTGCAGTGGGCTAGTGTCATCCTGATACACCAAGGTTGCGGGTTTGATCCCTGTTCAGGGCACATACAAGAAGCAACCAATGAATGTAGAAATTAGTGGAACAACAAATCAGTGTTTGTTTTCTTCTCTCTCGTTCTCACCTTTCCTCTTTCTCTCAAATCAATAAAAATAAAACGAGCAGTCTTCTTTCTTATCAGATGACAACTACCAGGTGACAGGTAAACTTTGATAACAGATGTACAGTTTGGTTCAGTGATGGGATTATTCGGTGTCATAAGATCCAGCATCCAGATATGGCTGCTTAAGAGATCAGACCTGGTCGGTTTGGCTCAGCGGTTAGAGCGTCAGCCCGCAGACCAAAGAGTCGCAGGTTCGATTCTGGTCAAGGGCATGTACCTCGGTTGCAGTTCATCCTCGGCCCTGGTTGGGGTCCTGCAGGAGGCAACCAGTCAATGTGTCTCTTTCATATCGATGTTTTTCTCACTCTCTCTCCCTCCCTCCCACTCTATCTGAAGATAAAATTAAAAAATATCCTCGGGTGAGGATTTAATAAAAAGAGAGAGAGAAATCAGAGATCAGAGTCCTGGCATTGTCAAGTATACCCGCCCCTCCTGCACTCAGCTCCATAATCAAAGATTATTACAAATAATGTATAGCCCTTCACTCCTTGATACTCAACAATCTATGGAAAAATAAGTAATTTATCCTTATAATGGGCAGAGCACTCAGCTCATGCTGAACATCGATTCTCTACAAGAGAAATGTTCCAATGACCAGGTGTTTGAAACTGTTTCCCAGGCAAGCTAACCTCCCTGTATTGCTGAGATGGACATTTGTAAATGTGCTTATATAAATATCACGTGAACAACGCCTTCATAACATTTTTTAATCCCTGACACAGAGCATTTGGCACAGTGTTCTGCAATGTATTGTGCTCTCACTAAAGATACACAGAGAACAGAGAAAAACAGCCAGGTTTTAAAAGGGACAGGATCTGATATTCCCAAGGAATCCATGGATCAATCACGACCTTTATTGTGCTATATTACAGTAAGTTCTTGCTCAGAAGGCTTCCCCCCCACATGCAAGATAATAAAATAGGTCAGCATTGTACACTGTGATTAGAAGAAAGCCACTCATCATGGACCTCCCTTATCGAACTCTCCTATTTACCTCTGCAAAAGTACAGGGCTTTAACCACTGTGAAGCAACTCGGTGCACTATTAACATAGGTAAGGCAAGTTATTCACTGAAAATTCTCTATCTTATAGTCAGACTAAATGTGCCAGTATTTTGGAAAAAGTAATCAAGTATTTGGGAATTAAATGCCAGACATCTTGAAAGCAGCAAGTGGGCCCTGGCCGGTTTGGCTCAGCGGTTAGAGTGTCGGCCTGCGGTCCTGAGAGACCCGGGTTTGGTTCCCGCTAAGGGCATGTACCTCGGTTGCAGTTTGTCCCCGGCCCTGGTTGGTTGTGCGGGTGGCAGCCACTCAGTGTGTCCCCTTCACATCGATGTTTCTCTCTCTCTCTCTGTTCCTCTCTCTCCCTCCCACTCTACCTGAACAAAGAATGGAAAAATGTCCCCGGGTGAGGATAAAAAAAAAAAAAAAGAAAGCAGCAAGTGGGACCCTGGTTTATCTTCACTCTCTAGTTATCGTTCAACATTACTCAGACCTGTTATATCCGGTGCTCCCACCTGATATTCCTTCAGAGGGAAGACTTTTTATGGTCACCAGCCATTTCTCCCCTTATCACTTCTCTTCTCTCTTGGGATCAGTTCCTGAAAGCCCTTCTCTTGGAAAATGAAAGATGGAAACTGAAAAATAGATTCAACCTATTTGCAGATACCAGACACAATTACCCTTAGGGACATAAGGCACCTATAGTGTGACCCCAGACTGACCACAGAAATGGAACTTCTACTGGATGCTGGGTGGCTACAAGGGAGCATGACTTGCAACAGGAGCACTGCTGTCCGCCACAGCCGGGCTGGACCACGGAGCACTGCTGCGATGAGAGTTAACAACAGACTGCAGGCTCCAGAGCGCTCAGACAGGCAGATAAAATCCTTCATTAAATACAGAGTTACATTATCGATCAGGTCTCTGGCCAATCTCATCATTCTTTTAAGTAATGTTTTCATAGTCAAGTGAGGAAATATGGAAATTAGGCCACCTAGGTTCTAGTCCAAGTGCTGTTACTTGCTGACTGTGTAACCTTGAGCAAGTCACTTTACTTCCCCCTGTAGTCTCAGTTTCTTAATCTGTAAAATGGCTATAAAACCACTTGCCTTGTCTACCTCACATTGTGGATGAGGATCAAATGAGATAATGCAGAAGTACTTTATAAACTATGAAATAATGTATGTAAAGGTAAAGCAATAGTACATACTTATTAAAATATTAGGTCCTATCTGATGAGAAATGCCCCTGTGGGATGTGCTTTGCAATATACAGACTCAAAAATAGCTGCTATAAATATACACTGTTGTTGTTTTTTTCCCACTAGGGCTGCATTAAAAAGAGAAATTCTCAATTTCCTCAGAAATGGCCACAGAATGCATTCCTTAAAAATGTGATGTTATCCAAATCAACCAATTGATAGAATTTTCTCCACATATATCCTGTACAGTTATAGTGTGGTCTATTGATACCTTTACACAGGGAAGTCTTGAATTCAAGAAATAGCATGCTAAAACTTAAAAAAAGAAAAAGAAACCAAACCCACAAAGTTATAGTTTGTTGTAAAGGAAATAAAACGAAAATCAGAGGCGTCCTACATAATGAAGTTACGTCTCAGCTCCTCACATGGCTGCTGCTTTCCTGAGATGCCTCCAGGACAGGGCCCTAGTCTGTGAGGTACTTCAGAGAAACTCAGTCTTGCTGGAGGTGAAGGACAGGTAGGCTGGTAACTATGCTGTGCGCATTTTCGGCACTAGTAATTGAACAAGAAGGTCTGCTAGAAGCTGCCAAGCAGCTTTGGTGGAGAAACCCACAGAGCCCAGAAGAGGCTTGCTAGCTCTCAGACGCCAGGCCAGAGTGTGGAGAACAGCTCGACACAGCCATCCAGTTCTGAGATTTTCAATTCTTCCTGTGAGTTGATTCTGCTCTTCTCCGGTCTAGTAAATAATTGAACAGAAGAAAACAATGAGATGTGGAATACTTTATCTACCTGGACTTAGGCCCTTTCTCTGCCTAGCTGCAAAAAGGTTACATGCAGAACAGAGACACAGGCAAGAAGTGAATCTGATGGACTCTGACCAGCCCAAAGCACCCAGACTCCAGGATTTGTGTCAGATGGCTTTTATTACAAATGTTACAGGCAATGACTTGGAGGAAGTCCTGTCAGTGCAGTCACTAGGTCAGGATGGTTGTCCTCTGGGGCCACAGGCGTACTGCTAACCTCCACTTTTCTTCCTGATTTGCTTTGCTTTCCGGGGTTTGAGGATGGTGTAGTTTGCATACACTGTATACCAATCTGACAGGAAGGGGACATAAAATGCCCGCAGCAGCTTTGAAGATCTGAAAAACAAGGGCAAAAAAAAAAAAAAAGACAGAATTTTATCATTTGAGAGAATTTACTAATGTATTGAAAATGATTCAAGGAAATAAACTAAGTGCTATAGTATGGATATTTTATATAAATAGCATAGCAAAATCTGTTATTTAGTTACTAGATCATGATGAAGACAATCAAAACCAAGTACCTTGTTACCCACATGAAAAAGAGTCTCCCTATCAAGTCACAGTATATCCTTCAAAATAGCTCTAGGTCTTCAATTTGCATTAGACTATACCATAGGAAAGTTCCAGGCCAAAGGACTGCTATTACTAACTAAATTCTTAATACCCAAGGGTTTCTGCAACTAAAAAACTATAGAGATGCCCAAGTGACCCTGACTCCAGCACTAAATTTTCCTAGAGAGATAAAGAGAAGTATGTCCTGAGCATCCTGTGCATAGTATTCCAGCAATTCTTTCTCTCTCTCTCTTTTTTTTTTCTTTAATTGTTATTTACTGATTTGAGAGAGAGAAACACTGATTTGTTGTTCCATTTATTGATGCATTCATTGGTTGATTTTTGTATGTGCCCTGACTGGGGATCAAATTGCAACCATGGTGTATGGGGATGACTTTCTAACCAACTGAGCTGCCTGGCCAGGGCTCTAGCAATTCTTAAGTCAAAGAGAGTCTTTCACATAACCTCATGTCATGACATGTCCCTGGCAAGTTATAATATGTATATATTTGTTATTAAAATATAGGAACAGATGAAAACCTGAATTTCTTTTGAGTTTCTGAAAAGTGTGAAAAATATTTCACATTTATTGAACACTTAGCATTGGACAAACCCTGGGAAAAGTGCTTACACTTTAAAAGATACAGTCGGCCCTCGTTTATTGTGGTTAATCAGTTCCAGACTCTACCGCAATAAATGAATTTCTGCAAAGTAGGATTCTTTATTTATAAATAGAATATTTTCACAGTTAGAGCATAGAAAACCTGTTTACAACTTTCTAAATATGTTTATTTATTTATTTTTTTTAACATTAGAGCCCTCTAATTCCCAAGTAAGAAGAACCCAAACAGGCCCACACCAAGACACATAGTAATTAAAACGCCACAAATTAAAGACAAAGAGAGAATCCTAAAAGCAGCAAGAGATAAGCAACAGGTTACCTAAAAAGGGAACCCCATAAGGCTCTCAGCTGACTTCTCACAAGAAACACTACAGGCCAGAAGAGAATGGCATGAAGTAATCAAAGTCATAAAAAACAAGAATCTGAATCCAAGACTACTCTACCCAGCAAGGCTATCATTCAAAATAGAAGGTCAAATAAAGAGCTTCCCAGACAAAAAAAAGCTAAGGGAATACAGTAGCACCAAACCAGCACTGCAAGAAATGTTAAAAGGACTGCTGTAATTAGCAGTAGAAATGGGAAGAAAAATAGAACCACACTAAACAAAAATGGCAATAAATAAGTACATATCAATAATCACCTTAAATGTAAATGGACTGAATGCTCCCATAAAAAAGACACAGAGTAGCTGATTGGATAAGAAAGCATGACTCATCTATATGTTGTTTACAAGAGACCCACCTCACAACAAAAGACTCACATAGGTTGAAAGTGAAGGGATGGAAAAAAAATTTCCAAGCATATGGAAAGCAAAAAAAAAGCTGGGGTAGCAATACTCATATCTGATAAAATAGATTTCAAAATGAAGACCATAACTAGAGACAAAGAAGGCCACTATATAATATTGAAAGGATCTATCCAACAGGAAGATATAACCTTGATAAACATATATGCACCCAATATAGGAGCACCAAAATATATTAAAAATCTTCTGGAGGACGTCCAAGGAGAAATCGACAACAATACAATCATAGCAGGGGACTTCAACACCCCGTTGACAGCACTGGATAGATCCTCTAGGCAAAAATTAGCAAGGAAACAGAGACTCTAAATGAAGCACTAGACCAAATGGATATAATAGATATCTACAGAGAATTACACCCCAAAACTACAGCATACACATTCTTCTCAAGTGCACATGGGACATTCTCAAAGATAGACCACACGATAGGACACAAACTAAATCTCTACAAGTTCAAGAAGGTTGAAATCATATCAAGCATCTTCTCAGATCACAAGGGCATGAAACTAGAAATCAATTGCAACAAGAACATGCAAAGACATTTCAACACATGGAGGCTAAATAGCATGTTATTAAACAATGAATGGGTCACCGAGGAGATCAAGGAAGAAATTAAAAACTTCCTGGAAACCAATGAAAATGAACACACAATAACACAAAATCTATGGGATGCAGCAAAAGCAGTTCTGAGACGGAAGTTCATAGCACTACAGGCCTACCTCAAGAAACAAGAAAAATTTCTAATTGACTGTCTAACCTCACAACTTAAAGAATTAGAAAGCAAACAAAAAGAAAACCCCAGAGCAAGTAGAAGGAAGGAAATAGTAAAGATCAGAGCAGAAATAAATGACATAGAGTCCAAAAAAACAATTCAAAGGATCAATGAAACAAAGAGCTGGTTTTTCGAAAAGATAAACAAGATCAATGGACCCTTAGCTAGACTCACCAAGAAACAAAGAGAGAGAACCCAAATACACAAAATCAGGAATGAAACAGGAGAAGTAACAACCGACACCACGTAAATATAAAAGATCGTTAACAACTACTATGAACAACTATATGGCAAAAATTCGACAATCTAAATGAAATGGACAAATTTCTAGAAACACACAGTCTCCCAAAACTGGACTGGGAAGAGATAGAAAACTTGAACAGACCAATACCAACTAAGGAAATTGAAGAGGTAATCAAGACTCTCCCAGCCCTGGCCGGTTTGGCTCAGCGGTTAGAGCGTTGGCCTGCGGTCCGGAGAGACCCGGGTTCGGTTCCCGCTAAGGGCACGTACCTTGGTTGCAGTTTGTCCCCGGCCCTGGTTGGGTCGTGTGGGTGGCAACCACTCGATGTGTCGCTTTCACGTCGATGTTTCTCTCTCTCTCTCTCCCTCTCACTCTATCTGAACAAAATATCGAAAAAAAAAAAAAAAAAAAAAAAGACTCTCCCAGCAAACAAAAGCCCAGGCCCAGATGGCTTCACGGGGGAGTTTTACCAAACATTCAAAAAAGAACTAACACCCATTCTCCTCAAACTATTTCAAAAAATTCAAGAAGAAGGAAGACTTCCAAACACGTTCTATGAGGCCAGCATAATTCTAATTCCAAAACCAGAAAAAGACACTACGAAGAAAGAAAACTACAGGCCAATACCCCTGATGAACATAGACGCCAAAATCCTGAACAAAATATTAGCAAATTGGATCCAGAAATACATCAAAAAAATTATTCACCATGACCAAGTGGGATTCATTCCAGGGATGCAAGGCTGGTACAATAGTCGCAAATCAATAAACGTGATACACCACATAAACAAAATGAAGAATAAAAACCACATGATCATATCAATAGATGCTGAAAAAGCATTCGACAAAATCCAGCATCCATTTCTGATAAAAATGCTCAGCAATGTAGGAATAGAGGGATCATATCTAGACATAATAAAGGCCATATATGAAAGACCTACAGCCAACATAACACTCAATGGACAGAAACTAAAATCATTTCCATTAAGAAGAGGAACAAGACAGGGATGTCCACTTTCGCCACTCTTATTTAACATAGTACTGGAAGTCTTAGCCACAGCAATCAGACAGGAAGAAAAAATAAAAGGGATCCAAATTGGAAAGGAGGAAGTGAAACTGTCATTATTTGCAGATGACATGATATTATACATAGAAAACCCTAAACACTCCATCAAAAATCTACTAGACTTAATAGATAAATTTGGCAAAGTAGCAGGATACAAAATTAACGTCAAGAAATTGACGGCATTCTTGTACACCAATGATGAACTCACAGAAAGAGAAACTGAAAAAACAATCCCATTTACCATCGCGCCAAAAAAATTAAGATACCTAGGAATAAACTTAACCAAAGAAGTAAAGGACCTATTTGCAGAAAACTACAGGTCATTGAAAAAAGAAATAGAGGAAGAATATATATAAAAGTGGAAGCACATACCCTGTTCATGGATTGGAAGAATTAACATCATTAAAATGTCCATACTACCCAAAGCAATCTATAGATTCAATGCAATCCCCATCAAAATACCAACGACATAGTTCACAGAACTAGAACAAATACTTCAAAAGTTCATATGGAACCAAAAAAGACCCCCAATAGCCACAACAATCTTGAAAAAAAAAGAACAAAGTAGGTGGGATCACAATACCAGATATCAGGTTATACTACAAAGCAACTGTAACCAAAACAGCCTGGTACTGGCACAAGAACAGGCATATAGACCAGTGGAACAGAACTGAAAACCCAGAAATGGACCCAAGGCAATACGCTCAATTAATATTTGACAAAGGTGGCAAGAGCATACAGTGGAGTAAAGACAGCCTCTTCAATAAATGGTGTTGGGAAAATTGGACAGCTACATGCAAAAAAATGAAACTAGACCATCAACTTACACCATACACAAAAATAAACTCAAAATGGATAAAAGACTTAAATGTGACCCGTGAATCCATAAAAATTCTTGAAGAAAATGTAGGCAACAAAATTTCGGACATCACACGGAGCAAAATTTTCACTGATACATCACCTAAGGCAACAGAAACAAAGGAAAAAATGAACACATGGGACTACATGAAACTAAAAAGCTTCTGCACAGCAAAAGAAACAATCATCAAAATGGAAAGGCAACCCACTGTATGGGAGAACAACATTGCCAATGATGTATCAAATAAGGGGTTAATTTCCAATATCAATAGAGTGCTCATACAACTCAACAAAAGGAAGACACAGAACCCAATTAAAAAATGGGCAGAGGAGCTGAATAGACACCTCTCCAAACGGGACATACAAATGGTTAAGAGACATATGAAGAGCCCTGGCCGGTTTGGCTCAGTGGTTAGAGCGT